TTTCTCACAAAATTTTCTGTTAGCTGATATGCAACTTCCGCTTAAAATTTGCTGGATAGAAATTCGTTTTAGACCCATAGTTTCTTAAGCAAAGTTGCTCAGAATGATCCGTAGGGCATTTTTCGCATATGCAATTTTTCCGTTTTTGTGATCCACTACAAATCGACCCGCTCTAATGTACATACATATCGTCGTTTAAAGTACAAAACCGCGTAACTGACATTTGCTGCCAAAAGTTGGATTTGCTCACACAAGCTCTTGGCGCAATACTTATCCATTCGTCCTGAGATATACAAGCCGGAAATGCGATTGCTTTATAAAAAAGAGAACCATTTTGAAATATGAGTGTTTTTACTCTCTAGAAAATAATTTAAGTATGCAACCTCACATACGCGGTTTTTCATTATCTTCATACGCGGTTTTGTATTGTGTTGATACGCGGTTTTGTACTTTAAACGACGATATGTATATGCAGTGAGATAATTCATGCGTGTGCACTATGTTTGTGTGTAGGATCCTATGTGGTACCTTCATAAACATCTTGGGGAAACAAAAAAGTACGTGCACGGAAATTTTTATTACGCAAACGCAATTGATACTTGCACTTTGAAAACAAAAATATGAGGTTTGTTCCACACGCTTTCCAGAAATAAGAGTGTAAATATAAGTTACTCTGTCACAAGTGTCAAAAATGTGTTAAACCGTGCCAAAAGTGCCCAGTTTATTTTACAAAATTTGCCATCGGATGTACACAAACAACAGCTGTTATTTCAAATTTACTTCTTGCACATTTCTGTCCGGAAAAAAAGTCCGGGTTGTTTCTGGAACGGAAATGAAGACATTTACAATCCAAAAGTGGAAGGTATTCGCTCTCTATTACCCTATTTTTCTAGCGCGAGGAACGCTTTCTGGGCTGTTTTGGGCACCCGTGCACGGTTGCCGCTTTCTAATTGTTTTAAGCTACAGATTTAAGCTAATTTAGGTGCTCCATTAGTTTCCGAGAACTTCGCAAAAATGTGTTGGTTAGCTAGGTTTACGTTAACCTAGCCGCCCATCTTTAAATTTTGGTTTAAAATTTTCCAAATATATGCAAACTATGTCTTTTAGGTGTTCTTCAACGCCACCAAAACTAATTTAGGATCTCCACTGGTTTCCGAGAAATTCGAAAACATGTGTTGGTCAGCTAGGTTTACGTTAACCTAATCCCTGCATATATTTCGAAACTTAAAAACCAAAATTTAAAGATGGGTCAGCTAGGTTTACGTAAATTAGGGTTTACGTAAATGAACTAAAACAACTCTTTGAGGTGTTTCTAGCAGTAGACGGAATCTCGCAACGTTCCGAATAAATAAAAAAGATTTTCCGTACGTTTGCAAGGCAGTTAAAAAATGCGTATAATTTTCGTCAAGAAATTGATATCATAAATTTTGTCTTTCTAGTTCAGGTTTCGTCACTCGAAAATTTTACCTCAAAGAGGTGTTTTATTTGATATCAATTATTTTGGGGTAGCAAATTTAAAATCGACGAAAATACAACCAATAATCTAAATGTTTTATTTTTCTCAAATAAATTGCTAAAAATGTTATCTTAATCTAAATGATGTATTCAAATCGATGTGTCCATTGAAACATATATTTTTTCGAATACGGAATAAAGCGAAAAAGAATGTACATATCCTTTGTACTGAAAAAAAAAATATGATGATTGGATACATTAAACAACTGTATTCGTCTGATTTTTTCGTAGTTTAATTTTATTAAGATTTCTACCGGGTGTGGGGCGCACACATGTGTCTCTTTAAGGAGTTTTACTTCTATCACGTGATATAAGTTGCTCTCGTGCTATTAAACTAATGCTTTTTTCTCAAGTAGTTTTACTCAGTGTCAATTTATACATATACAAGTAGTAGCGGCACATTGGGTGAACTAAATGCATTCATACATACATATTTATGTACAAATATACAGTTGTCCACAAAATAATAGGAGTGCGATATTTTGACCAGTTTTGGCTATTTGTCTTTTGTTTATTTAATGTTTATTATTTTTTTATAAAAGCCTAGCTGGCTATACAACAAACCATATAAATTCAGATTTTAAACTTTGTATAAAAATTATAAAAATTTTGCAATTTTTCACCCAAATTTCAAACTTTTTAATCAGAATCTTTAGAAAAAATTCTGGTATGCAGTTTTGTAGCACATTCACACATAGGCACACAATCAACGGAATTTTTTAGCCGCTTGAAACTTGCACTTCTTCAGACTAGAATTGAATGTGCTACAAAACTGCATACCAGAATTTTTTCTAAAGATTCTGATTAAAAAGTTTGAAATTTGGGTGAAAAATTGCAAAATTTTTATAATTTTTATACAAAGTTTAAAATCTGAATTTATATGGTGTTTGTTGTATAGCCAGCTAGGCTTTTATAAAAAAATAATAAACATTAAATAAACAAAAGACAAATAGCCAAAACTGGTCAAAATATCGCACTCCTATTATTTTGTGGACAACTGTAAGTAATATTGTATGCGTTTTCCCAGGTAGGTTAAGTGCGGGTCATAAACCCATGTAGCATAGTTAAATACTGTGTACATACCTACAACTAAAATGGGGAAAAATGTTACAATTTCGGCATGTGACTGAAACAAACTCTAAAATACAAACAATTTGTGGTTTCCAAGACATGTACGAAGTGATTAGCACAGCTGTATCCTTCAACTTGTCAACTCGCGGAAAATTCCCCGATTTGCAGGGAATTTCGGCTTAAGTGGCAATCGGGAGAATGGACAATTTTTTTTCGGGGAACTGGGTATGTTATTTTTATATCTTAAAGTAACCAAATTAGACGGATATGTTAATTTTTAACTTTTTGGTGCGACATTTTTTCAATTTGAATCGCGATATCTCCACAACAAGAGTTTTCCCAGATATAAGCGATATACTAGATGAAAGCTAAGAATTTGGGCTAGATTTGTGGAATCTTAGAATAAAATCGACTGACCAGTTTTTGAGAAAATGCCCGAAATCTATATTTTCAGCAGCCCGATTTTTAGTTATTAGCTAAAGTTAGTTAGTTAAAGCTGGTTTTAACGCCCTTCTACTGCTATCCACATGAATGGTATGGAATGAGTAGTGCGACTTCAGTGGTAGTTTAAAAAAATGCCTTTCTTCGAATTTCAGGCACCAGCCACACCCACAACGGCAAACGAATCGAAACATCGAGGAGCAAAACTTTCTTAGTTTGTTTTGTACTTTAATTCCTGAAAGTTTGAAAAAAATAAATGATTGTAGGTACAGACGCCACATACATACCAAAGTATCTCGTAGTGGAGACACGAACCAAAACACATTTAGCTCTATATCTTTTCAACTAGTAGCCGGAACTCAACAAATAAGGTATCGTTTGAAAGGTATTGGCCTATAGAATAACACTAAGTATGTTGGGTGTACCCGCCAGGGTGTCCAGATTGTTTAAATAAAAATTTCTAAAAAAAAAATTGCCAAAAATCGCCAATTTTTTTAAATAAAATTCATGAAATCGATTTAACATATCTTTTATTTTAAAAATGAGATCTTGTTATAATATAGTTTTTAAAACCAAAAACCGTCAGAGGGTAATAATAAATAATACAAATCACTTATATAATAGTGATGTACAAACAATTTTCTTTAAAAATACGCATACTTTTTAAAAATATTTGTTTCAAAACATTTTGCAATAGGACTGCGCAATTATTAAATTTATTATAACTCATATTAATTGATTAATCGCACAATCCGCTTTTAAGAGCGCTAAAAATGAAATAAAAACCAATAATAAGACGAGATCAGCTATTTACATAATTTTTTCAAAATCACCTGTAGTGCATGGGCGTCGCCAGGATCGAATTTAGGGGGGGGCGGGGGGCTCGACAAAATTTTCATCTTTACACATTCATGTTTCTGACATGCGGGGGACGATATTTACATGCCAATTCGTTTTACAAAAACTATTTAAAAATCAGACGTCTCTTGCTCAGCAAACCGGTTAATCGTTTCTGCAATTATTTCACATTGATTCTCTAAAACAAATTTTCGATGTATTCTTAAAATGCATAAACCTAAAGGTACATTTTATAGGAAATTAAACTAATAATTTATTCGTGAAAGACAACAATTAATCTTGTATAGCTAGACACCTGTTAACCTAGGATAATTTTTAATTTCTTAAAAGACATTACTCTACTCTAAGCTTAGTGCAGTGGGCCATGAGAAAACCGTCATCTATTAGGTATAGTCCAAACTTTCACAATATCTTGTATTAGTCTTAATCTGAAACGCAATAATCGTTGAAAATTGGCACCGTTTTTGGTGAAAAGTATTTAATATCACACTTTCAACATACATAGTTTTATTAAGAAAAACTATAACCACATTTATTTAAAACAGTCATGCCCAACGTCGGCAGAACTCCATAAGCAAGGCAGAATTCCATATGCAAGTGCCTTGCGCTGGGCATGACTGATTTAAATAAATGTGGTTATAGTTTTTCTCAATAAAACTATGTTTTATTATTAGTCAAACTCACAACTTCAATATTCCTCCTCAATATACGCCTCGCAGACGTAGATTATACTTTTAGGGTTAACCCTTTCAGTACAAAAATTCAACCACTGGTTATAAAAAATTTTAAATATGGGGCATTTCACCTCAAGTGACCCAACTTTTGAAATCTATGTCTTCCGATCGGGATGAAATTTGCACCAAGTTTAGTCCTAAAAAATAGTAAAAATAGTAGTTATGACACAAAATTTCAATGGGATCGGTCAAACACACTCCGAGTTGGAGGGTCTAGAATTTTGACATTTTGGTCAAACGGCCATTTTTTCGGATCCATATAACTAATTACCTATTGTATTTAGAAAATTTTTTCAGGAATGTTTTCGATAGATTTCTCTTCAGTCTTTACAAATTTTATTTTTTTT